GTGACATTGCTGTGAGCATTTATGGTTCTTTCCCATGAAAGCTGCTGAAAGTTATGTTGCGTGCGTACGGGTTCGTGGTAGATTGAATGCACTTAGAACCGATGATAACTTTATTAAATTTATTTTTGCCGAAAGAAACACGTTACAGTTCTTAAAGTTTCCAGTAAAATAAATACTCCTACTGCTCTTCTCAGTATCAACGAGTACAGTCAGCAGTTACACTTCAGACTACTAAGAACGTTAAACACAACGCACTGCAAAGCGAATCTAAATAAGCCAAACTCCTACTCAACACTCTGAACTTAACAACTGAGAAACTGATGTTGTTTTCGGTCTTATATAGTTTTCCCCCGGCGTCGAAAAATCTCTAGTATCTTCCATTTCTCGAAATTACTGGAAGGCATATACGGTTTAAGTTTCTTGTGCGGTTACAGTTACACGTTAGTTATTCAATTACAGTACCAATAGTAGTTGTACAGGGACTGGGCCAAAATGTCGACAAATGGTGGCCAAGTTTGGAGACTTTGGGTGAATTTTTGTCAAATTTGGCGAAGGGTCGCCAAAACCATCGCCAACGATGCAATATCTCGCCAATTTAGCGAGATAGCCATTTATTCAGTGTTAGACTTGGCCATTGTAGTTTTATTTTTCCGACTGAGCTTTCTCTCTTTCAAACATCTCATGTTACATTATACAAAAAAATACTACTGTTTCACGTACAATTTCACTACAATTATCTACGTAAGTACAAAATTCGGAACAGTAATTTACGTTCAATCTCTATCTACATAAATCCGTATTAAACCCGTACTGCCCTAATATCATATTCACTGTACATTTGATAAATGTGTCCATTTGCATACTGGAGGTTAAAAAATTGAAAAACTAGGCAAATCGGGCTCAGGTGTTTGTTGTTGGAATGCATTTTGCCTTCACATTTGCTTTACTATTGAATGTTACAGCTTTGGTTGCAGAGGACATATAGATTTTTTTTCATTATTTTTCATTATTCGTTATCTCCGCAATTCGTCTGCAGCTATTGATGCTATTGGTTAATCAAGACAAATCCTTTGCGTATCAGAGAGGGTTCATCACATTCCATAATAGCCGTATTCCAAAACAGCCTCAAAAATTTTATTACCGATTAAAGTTCGGACCCGGAAGTAGCTTTTGATTGCCATTCCCATATTAGCTCCTGTTTTGTATGTAGATGTATTATCTCGCATTATAATATTCCCGTATCGGCCTCCATTTTATAAATGTATGTATCATCCGTATTATAATATCCCATATCAGCCACCGTTTTATAAATGTATGTATTATCCCGTATTTTAATATCCCATATCAGCCACCGTTTTATAAATGTATGTATTATTCCGTATTATAATACCTCATATCAGCCTCCGTTTTATAAATGTATGCATTATGTCATGGCAGGCTTCGTTTTATAAAGTATTATTTCCTGAATATGATTTGCAATTTCTATGTCGAATATCTTGGAGACTTTTTTTGCGTGACTCCTGTGCGTGCGAACAAAATAAAGGACTTTTACCCGAAAAAGGTTGTAAAATGGCTTCAAAAGGGATTTTATTGAAATTTATAGAATTCTATTGAAATGAAGTAACTTATTAGCATATTTAAAATGGAAGCATTAAAAGGGTGAAATTAGAAATGAAAAAGCAGCCAACAAACTAATTAATTATCGTCATTGACCGGAAATTAGTTGACTTCTCACAGAAAAGTTAGAAAACATTTTTAAATCATAAAAAAAAAAAGGCAGATTAATAAGCTTTTTTAGATATGTGTGTGTCTGCTAGATGTGAGTTGCTTTTTTCTTTAGTGTTAATTTTTTTTTCCAAATCATTGTAACTATTTAATTTTAATCAAATGAATGTTAATTATTGTGTGGAGATCATACCAATAAGGGCCAAAGAGATTTTTAGCCCTCGGCCTAGATAGCTAGCTGTATGTCTGCGACTGGTTCTAGTATCTTGTGGTCCTTGTGAAAACCACGATTTCATTTGCTTTCATTTCCAAATTGATGATATAGTAAGCTTATATCACATCCTCGGCTTCAATCTCCAGTGAAAACCCTTTCAAAACTGAAGACGCTACAGTTTTTCACTTAACTGAAACAACGTCATCTGAGAAATGCTCATCCTGGTATAAATCCCTGGTGCGCTGATTCCTATTAAGTATCGCATTCTCTCAAATCTTTTGAAGCCCGGCATTCACAGGACAGCTCTCGCTATCTTCCCCCCCCCCAATGCCTTGTATAGGCCGCCAGAAGGCGGGTCGGAAAATGACATGATCCCCGCCCCTGCAAACTAATAGTTAAATTACGTCTCTCCGACCGCGAATGAATCTTCGAGTCCACAGGTGCATCAGACATGTTCATACAGAAGCGGGTGGACGATGTGCGGATGGAGGAGAGGAGATGTGTGGAAGGAAGGGGTTGGGGGTTGGTGCACCCAAATTGGATATCACCATTTGTCACCTGGATGACTGCGTCTAATGGCGGAACAAATTACTTTATTTGAAAGTGCGTGTCGGCCGCAGCGAAGGCCGCGCTTTGATCGATGCTGCAGAACGCGACTCGTGCACGAGCGCGTGTAATAATTGCAGCAGCCCCGAGGAGGATGGACGGACGGGGAGCGTGCACATGTCATCGTCTTTTCGCTCGCGAGATGCGCGTGCACATGAAGGCCGTTTGATGTGTTGTTTCATATTTTCGCGAAGAGAAGATACCAGCAGGGATTTTCTCCCGCCCTGGGAAAGGAAAAGGATTTTTCCGTTGGGAAATAAATGGATAGTATAGAAAGGAGCACCTTAGAGATCTAGTCAGAAATATTTCCTTTATTATACTAAACAAGGGAATCTCAACTCCCTCCCCGGGGAGGAATTTCATAGTTTTAAGGAGAGATGCGGTCACCCTTTATGTACCTATTTAGTGTATGTATATAAAAAGCTATTTTTATTCTCAAGTTTTGGTATTTATCAACATTTCCTTGTGTTGTGAAGTTACTTATTTAGTTCACAAGGGACATTACAAATAATATAAATTGCAATAAATATATACGCATTATTTGGGTTTGGAAAAGGAGGGAGGATGATCGTCTGGCGATGGTGAAAGGGATGTTATGAGGCAAAAAAGATTGATAACTATTGCACTAGACACTTACCTTTGCCAACCACTTAAAATAATTATGATAAAAAAGAAAAAGTAGGCACAAAAAGATTTTAATGAATCCAGCTAATGTTATTTCACGGCCTCAGCCAATAATAATAACTGAAAATAATAATGAATTTGCGTTTATTTCTTCTAAATCGCTTAGTTTTTTAATTAATTGCGGAACGAATTTGAAAGTTAAAACAATTTTAATTTGAGCAGTGGCAGAGCCACTTTTCGTCCAGATCGCTGTTTTGATGATTAAATGCGAAGATAAATAACACGCTTCTTTTATATCGCTGAGATATCTGATGCAATTTGAAACATAAATATCTTACGCTTTGCTGAGCGACAAAGCTTTTAAATCGTTGTAGAATCATTAGGTATTTTTGAAGCAGGAGACATGAAAATTGAGTAATGCCTACGAATATGGGCATGCGGAAGACAAAATTTGAAATTTTGAGTTTGTTTTATTATCTATTTCATATTTTGTAAAACTTTAACAAAGTTTTGATTAACAAACTCAACTATTTCAAAGCGATCAGTGGCAACACTGTGCGGAATGAAATGTTTTTGTCATCTGCGGACGAGACTATCTATCAGAAATTCTAAAGATATGCTGTTTTAAAATATTTTGTGATTTTGCTGTTGAATTATACTTTGTGCAGGATAAGTGCGAAGAACATGGTATTTAATTAATAAATTTAACATGCAAAACATTAATAACAAAAAGACAGAAAAGGGGGTTTTACAAGCCATTTAACTAAGAAAACGGAATAGTGATATGATGAACTGAGAAAAGATAAAAAAATATAAAAACCTATGACTATAAACCACTTGACTGTAAAGCAGTAGGAATTCGTAACATATGCTGTGCAGGTTTTAAATTTTTTGCAATTTTGTTGTTGAATTGTACATCCCATAAGCGCGAAGAAAACGATGCTTAATAATGAAGTTAAAAAAAAGTTAGTAGGATTGACCGCGACAGCAGACTGATTGATAGACTACGGATCAGCAAGAGCATAGGAAACCTTAATAAACTCTTCTGGGCGACCGTTAAATCTGAAACCTTTCAGATCCCCCCTCCCAATTTTATTTTAAAATCATATGATTGTTATTGGAGCACCCAGTATAAAATGATTAGAAAGCTGTTGAATTAAGAAATGTCAATGCTATGTGATTTGCTGTACAATTTAAGTTTAATCTCCGTTAACTGATAATTATTATAATTATTATTAAGATAATTATTATTAAATTAATTAATAATTATTATTAAATATATGTATTAATTAATGGATAATTATTATTAAATATACGTATATATATATATTTGGGAATGTTTTAAATTGCAGAAAACGAAAAAATGGGCATAGGTAGAACCACTTAAATTTAGGAATCATGAATGCAAGCTTTTAATACTGAATACAAAAGAATTTTTTTCTTTAAATTGATGCTATAGCGAGATTAAAAATGGAAGCACATTTCGAATTTTTTTTTTCTTCCTTCTCCATTTTCATTCGTGTCATTAAACTAATTGTAATGAAGAAGCAGTTTAATTTATGGATTGGAATACTTAATGTATGCCATTCTTTAGATACGAGACCGATGGGAATATTCATTCCTGGAAATGGGAAGCTAAATTAAGTTAATTAAAACCGGGAAAAAAAGAGGGATACGTGTATATATTTCCACGTGTAATAATTTAATGCTGTAAATTGAATTTTTTTGGCAACAGTTTATTCCATACTTTTTTTTTTTTTTTTTTTTTGCTGCTTGTATTTTGTTTCTGGTATGCGTAATTGTTTTTAATACGTTCTCTTTCTTTTTTTAGGACTTCTGTTGAAAAGTGGTTGTTAAATACAAAATAATAGCAGTTAAAGGTGAGTGCTTCTTTTCTTTCCTCGTGGTAGTGTAGGAATAATCTTTGTGTGGTTTTTAATGAATACAAATGCTGCATCTATGTGTCTAACATATTATAATTGTGAAACTAATGAAAGAGAATCTAGTAATAACTATGTTTCCTCATTTTTCACCTCCCGCTAACCTATATGCTGTGTTTCCTCGCGTAATTTTACCCCTAGCACTTTAGCTCTAAGTTCGTTTTGAAAGTTTTAAAAATATTCGCATAATTTCCCCCCTTCATTGTTGTACACTGCGGGAAGGGGGGAAAAAAGAAAGAAAGTTCTATATCTCCCATTCTGTTAGTCCGATTGACGAAATTCAAATTGCGTTTTTCATGTTTAGGAAGTTCGACTTAGGATATGTATTAGATTTATATATAGCAGTGCTCAAATATAAGTATTCTGACCCAAAATCGGACTTTTCTGAAATGACATGCCAGTTTTTATCCATACTTCGATTCTACGACCGGAATTATGCCAAACTGCCAAGTTGTGTAAAACTCGCACGAGTAGTTTTTAAAAAATTAGCTCTCAAAATTTTAGCTCCTCCATGGTAATTGAATTTGTTATATATTTGTTAATCTTCCTCTCTCTCTCTTTTTTTTTTTTTTTTAATTAAACTTGTTTAATTCTTCCTTTCACATTTCGAAATTTAGGTTCAAATATATCGCATATCGAAATATGTGAAAAAAACTGGCATGTCATTTCAGAAAAAGTCCGATTTGTGTCAAAATGCCTATATTATAAAAATGCTATATAGAAATCTAATACATATCCTACGTCGCGCTTTCGAGACATGAAGAACGCAATTTGAATTTTGTCAACCATTCCAGTAGAACGGGAGATATAGGACTGTTCCTTCTTTTTTTTTTTTTTTTTTTTTTTCCTTAAATTTTTCGCAGTGTACATAATTATTGTATTAAATGTGCTACTTCAAAACTGTGCTTCTCAATAGGTCTCAAAACTGAAAGCTGATAATCGTAATTTATATTTTAAATGCATCTCTAAAATTTCGCAATTAATTTGGCACTCCTTGTCCTGGCTGTATTGTTAATTAAGATTATGATATTATTGTAAAATAACATAAACTTAATTTTAAAAAAATGAGAAAGGCTTGTAGAGACATTAGGTATTTTTTTTAGAAGCAGGCAAGATGAAAAATATGCAACCCCTTCACCGGGAATCGAACCGCGGTCTTCTCTCAGTTACGCGCTGAGCGTGCAGATCACTACACCGCGAATGCTCGCTTAGAAGGCGGGAGAAATACCTTATAGGCTTAAGATTTTAAAACTCGCTCTAAACAGTATTTTACGTTCTCGCTGGGCTCGCAGTCCATCAGTTTGCTGTTGGTCTTACTCCCGCTAGCGTTATTACAAAGCATTATTTTCTTCGCTCTTACGCCAGTATACGATTCAACAGCAAAATTACAAAAATTTTAAAAGAAGCATACATTTAGAATTCCCGATTCCGTCTTAAGTGCTGGCGTACGTTTTTCTTTTTTCATTTTTTTCTCAGCTCATCATATCAATCTTCAGTTTGCGTAGTAAGATTACTTACAAAGTTTGCTTAGTAAGATTTCTTTAATTTCTTTAAAGATAATACAGGGCGATAATACACTGCCCTCCAAAAGTAAGGAACAGCATGTTTTTCAAAGCTCATCATTACTAAGATGTTAGTGACATTTAAATTTAGAATTCATATGCATATGTCAGTAACGAAATTTAAGTAAAATGCATAAACACAATAGCTATAACTTTTATTTTATAGAAATGAATATTTATATAGGAGTTGGAGGAAAACTGCAAAAATTGTAATTTTTGTTCACGAGTGTTGATCTTCAGTTGTTATTACAGTTTCAGGGACAATATTCAGGGGAGTCTATCGGTGTCCAGGAGGAGTTGTTTGCCCGATTCGCTGAGGTGACGGGTGATCGGATGGATGGAAATGGGGATGTCGCAAGCTGATGCTGCTCTCTATGCCTCTCGGAGTGTGGTCCACTGACTATGGAATCAGTTTGAATCTGAGGAATTCTGTGTTTAAGAGTTCCGGGCAGACCTAGAGTTACAACACCTGCGGCGGACCGTTATTTACTCTTCTTTCGCCCCGAAAGAAGAGTAACAATACTGTGCCTCAGCTCATGGCAGATTATTTAGTGGCAACAGGAACAAGAATCTCAGCTACAACAGTGCGCAGACGCCTGCACAATACAGGTCTGTTTGGAAATGAGCACTTGGTTGTTTTTCCTTGACCCGAGGACATAGAGGTGCCCATTTATGTTGGGCAAGACAACACATCTTTTTGACTAGTCAACAATGGGTGTCTATTCTCTTCACAGTCGAGTCCAGGTTCACTTATTGGAGAGGGATTCAGGTCGTCAGCTGATCTGAAGGGAACAACGCACCAGACACAACCAATCCCATATTGTGGAAAGATACAGTTACAGAGGTGGTGGAATAATGGTTTGGGCTGGGATCTCTCTCGGTGTTCACACTGATCTACACATGTTCCATGGAGGAACTTTGACTGGTGTGAGATATCGAGACAAGATCCTTGACCAATAGGTCCGCCCGTATGCTGCTGCTATCGGCCCTGGATTTCTTCTGATGGACGACAATGCTGGATCGCAGCGAGTTCCAGTTGCGGAAGAATATCTTGAGTGTGACGATATGGAACGGATGGAGTGGCTAACTCAATCCCCAGACCTGAATCCGTTAGAGCACCTTTGGGACTACCTTGGGAGACAGATTGCTGCTTTAAGTCGTCTATTAAAGTTGTTGGATGAGTTTGAACAAGGATTACTTCGTGTCTGGTCGTTGCTTCCTAATTCACTGACCGACAACTTAATTGACAGCATGGATCGTCGCTGCCGCCGATGTATTGCAGCTAGGGGTGGATATTTTCCGTATGAAAACCCATTTTTGTAATGTTACAATCGCATTTTTCCTTAAAAAATTGTGATATACTGTTTCTCCAAGATTGGATTTCTCTGCCAAGTGTGCAATTTTGTGTTGTAGTACATGTTTGTGTTAAACTTTAGAAACATTCTATGTCGCATTCTTTAAAAAACTGTTAAGTGAACATGCCCTGTAAATTTCTTGTTTCTATGTTGCTTCATTCTCAAACTAGACACACACACACACACACACACACACAACAAAAAAAAAAAAAAAAAAAAAAAAAAAAAAAAAAGTGCTGTTCCGTAACTTTTGGAGGGCAGTGTATTTGGTGGCAATAATTTGAAGAGTGATTGGCTGTTCTTTGTGGACTATGCAAAACCCCGTTTCGAGACTAATAGCCCTTTCAGACTGACGCGATTTTGGGGAATAATAAAAAATATATAACACTATTCCTTCTATAAAAATACTGAATATTGTTAATTAATTAAATGCATTTTATTATTTAAATCAATGCGAATCAAGAATTAAGAACGGTCTATTACTTTCAAATATTTCAGTTTTTTAATCTACGGCCGAGAGTTTGTATTTGAAAGATTTAACTTTTGTTGTAACGAGATCTTACATTTTGTTGAATTAAAAGTGAAACGGCGCAATTATAGTGATTCGACGCAAAATCCCATTTCGAGACCAATAGTCCTTTGGGTCTAAATTTGTGTAAATGTCTAACAGAAATAAATTGTAACTGTTACAATTTGAGTTGGAAAATGTTTTGTCGCATTTAGCTAAACACCATTAAGATTGTGATACCAGACCTACTAGTAGGTCGCAAAGGTCGTTACAAAAGGATATTACATATTGAAATTTGCATAATTACATCTTGTAAACTGTGCGTGTCTGGAATATGAAAGACGAACTCAATTTTCTTCATTAATCGTCCATTTCACCGCCAAGAAATGGAACTTTTTTTTTTTTTTTTTTTTTCATATTGATCTTGTTTTAAAAACCTTAGAAAAATTTTTACAGTTGTGTGTCTACATTATTGACAACTGAATTAGTGCTTCTGTTGATTTATATTTTGGAAAGTAATTCATGCTGTGAAACGTTTTAAGATTATGAATGGAAGTACATTCTATGATATGGAGATCAGTATTTAGTTTTTGCAGTTTTCTATTGTTGTGTGTGTTAGTCTTAAAATGACAATTCTTATTAAGTCTACATATACGGTGGAACGTCCGGATATCCGGACCACAGCTCATTCGATTAATTGGATAGTTTATAGACCAAACGGACTGTTAGTCTCGAAACGCGATTTTGCATGGTCCCCAGTAAATGTTTTTCACTTATTCTAGTCTGTTGCCATTCGGTAAAATATAAGATATTTATTCTTTAATCTATCTGTTAATAATTAACATATACGGTATTTCTCCCGCCTTCCTAGCGTGCCTTCGTAGTGTATGCTGGGCCGGTATTCCAGAGGTCCGTGGTTTGATTCCAGGCGAAGTCGATTGCTCATTTTTCAATCTTTCTTGCTTAAAAAATACCTAATGTCTCTACAGTGGCGGATGATGATTTCTCCCCATCCAGGATTTGGCGATTGGGTCCCCTAAAATCCCCAGTCGCCCTTTAAAAGGGGGAGTACATAAGTTATTTCTCCCGCCTTCCTAGCATGCTTTCGTGGTGTAGTGATTTTGCACGTTGGGCCGGTATTCCAGAGGTCCTGCCAAGTTTTTTAGATATTACGAAGTCAGCATATTAGCATACAACGCAACCGGAGTTCTTCCTCTTCAATATGGATCGACGATCTAGCCCATTTAGGTATTGCGCATCAACAGTGTTCCTACATCAGTACTTCTAAACTATCAGCACTACACGCACTATACCTAATGTCTTTTAATATACGTTTATATGTAATAAACGCAAACTTACTATGCACTTACTTGCTTTGATTCCAATTTAATATTAACTTTAGATGCTTTAAGTTTATCCTACTTTAATCCTGAAGGTATAGTGCAGGACGGGTTTAAGTTTTTTTATTTTTTTAACCAATTTTACAAAAAAACAAAAAAAAAAAAAAAAAAAAAA